TTTTTTTTTTTTTTTTTTTTTTTTTTTTTTTTTGAACAAAAAATATCTCTTGTTTATAACAAGATTATTTCAACACAGAGATTTTAGCCCATATAAATTTTAAGCCGGGCCTGTCTAACATCAGACACGAGAATCTTAAAATATGGCAGAAGGACGTTTAGGTAGTACTTGTCATGCTTGCATGCAACCCCACTCATCTAAAAATAGAAATCTAACCCAATTCAAACGTTTTGTAAAGTTCTTTCTAGTTCAAAACTTTTTGTATAAAACTGTTCAACTCCACTTGGGTTCTATTTCTCAGCCAACAAGTTCCTCATCAATCATTCTTTCCTACTGTATTCTCTGAGGTGGACATAAGGTGTTCGATAAAATGCCTGAATGAGTTTCCTCCAAATTATCTTCTACTGAATTTGATGTTCTCTGTTGCAGACTTACTTGCAGTGTTACGCATCCACAGAAAAGCTATGGAGAATGCAATTTTTAAGCCTTCTTTAAAACTGTTAACTTCTGACTTGGTTAAAAAAGGAAACTTGTGCAAGCCAAGTTGCTCTATTGAATGGGTTTGCTCTGCTTATAGTACTCAGGTATTTGTTTGGTAATTTTAGCATGTAAGAAGAGTCAACCTCAATCTTGGTCGTTATCACTTGTCACCGTCATTCTAACGTCTTCATTGCAAAGAATTCAAATTTGGCTCCCACTAGCGTAGACTTAGACTCTTGATTATTATTTAGACTTGACGTGTGTCATTAATTTATCTTCAAAACCACTTGTTAGACATCCATTGCCAAATTTCTATCTTTCAAGTTTTAAGTTCTTGAAACTATGTGGGCACATGTCACCTTCCTCACTTTCTTTACATTAACTCTCTTGTTAGGAGAATCATGTTGTCAAACGGATACTCTGCTTCAGGGGCACTACTTGAGAGATGGGCAAGAGCTGGTTTCAGCTTTCAATATCTTCAAGCTCAAGTTCTTCAGCTTCAAGAACTCAAGCAACGTGTATCTTGGTGTTTGGTACAACAATTTGTATCTGAATGATATCCAAGACAGACCTGTCTGGATTGCTAACCGTGACAATCCGATTCCTTGACGCCCTGGGAGCCTCACGATTGACTCTCTTGGCAGATTGAAGATTTTGAGAGGAGCATCAAGCCTGCTTAACCTAAGTTCTACGGAGAGCACTGGTAACACAACCCTCAAGCTGCTAGATTCCGGAAATCTTCAGCTCCAGGAGATGGTTCCTAGTGGATCCACGAGGGTTTTGTGGCAGAGCTTTGACTATCCGACTGATACTCTTCTCCCTGGGATGAAACTCGGTTTCAACGTCAAGACCAAGAAGAGATGGGAGCTGAGATCAGGGCTAGGTGATACTTTACCAGTTTCTGGATCTTTTGTCTTTGGGATGGATGCCAATATATCAAACCTGTTGACCATCTTGTGGCGTGGAGAAAGGTATTGGGCAAGTGGTCTCTGGTTTAAAGGACGTTTTTCCTTGGATGCATTTAACAACTATGAATCCGTCTTCTCTTTTAATTCAACCGAAAGTGAACGGTACTTCACGTTTTCAGTTGATAGCCACTATCCTGAAACAGTGTTTCCCACAATAACCATAGACCAGCATGGCGTTTTGCATATAAACAGGCTCGACAGAGAGCTAGCACATGTGCGTTGTTCTCCTTTCACTTTGAGTAAAGAGGTCAGCTCCAGGTATCAGTATAGGAACGAGTACGGAGATCTGTATGAGAAAGAGTACAGGGATTGGTATAGGAATCAGTACAGTAATCAGTATGAGGAAAACTCCACCGATTGTTATGGGAACAAATCCAGGGACTGTTTGCAGGCTGGTTGCACAGTTCCTGATATGGCACATGGGTTCCTGAACTGCTATCCCTTTCGTTCTACCTATTTCGAGGAGATAGAACCAGATTTACTAAGCAATGGATCTGTGCTTGATGAAACTTATGGAAGACTTAGTTCAGCTGATTGCCAGGTCATATGTCTGCAAAACTGTTCTTGTGTTGCCTATGCTTCGACCAATGTTGATGGTACAGGCTGCGAAATATGGAGTGACCCCTGCCAGATCTGGAATACTGGTTCTACCAACAATAGGTCGTCTTCTCTTACTCCCAGAAGTATATATATTCGTGAACAAGATGAGACATCTATATGTATGGGAAGAGATTCGGAAAATTATTTTTCGGGCTTGGGGGGAGACAGAGGGAACGGGAATCCTGTAGTTTGGCTAGTTGTTGGGGCATCGCTGTTTCTAATCATACTTGTGACTGGCTTCATCATCTATCTTGTTCTGAGGAAATATAAACTAAACGGTAAAAGGAGTGTCTCAGAATCACATAAACACTTTTTTCTCTATGTTGTTCTTACTAACAAGTTCACCGCTTCTTTTGTTCTGTGTTTGATGAATGCCAGTAACTGATATATTTCGAAAAACATTCTACTTTTTACTGGGGAAAATCATTCAACTAAGTATGGCTGCATTTTACAATTCACGGAAGAAAATCATTCAACCAAGTAAGGCCGGGTTTAACTATCTATGGAGAAAGATCATTCAACCAAGTAAGGCTTTACTGAACAAAATTTTCTATAAGATTGTTGTCCTTATGGAAATTAAGAATAGCTGTTATATTGTATAGTGAATGGTTTCATTGGGAGGAGGCTTCTAACACTGAGGTATGGTTCAGCAATAGACCGTGAATTGTTACTGCGTGAACTGGGGATTGATAGGAGAGGCCGTCACAGGAGAAGTGCAAGAAAGAATAATAATGAACTTAACATTTTTAGCTTTGAAAGTGTAGCCTTGGCAACAGATTACTTCTCTGATGAGAACTTGCTTGGTGAAGGAGGTTTTGGTCCTGTGTATAAGGTACTGACAGATTCTGTTATTAACTTAAAAATAGATTTTGATGTTTTCCGCTACTTTCTTGAAGGGGATGTTGATAAGTGGTGAAGAAGTGGCTATCAAGAGACTATCAATAGCATCAGGGCAAGGACTAGTGGAGTTCAAGAACGAAGCCTTGCTTATTGCAAAACTTCAACACACAAATCTTGTGCAGTTGCTAGGATGTTGCATTGAAAAGGATGAGAAAATGTTGATTTACGAATACATGCCCAACAAGGGCCTTGATTACTTCCTCTTTGGTGAGCTTTGTTTAAAATGCCAAGAATCTATGTTGGAAGAAACTGATCTGAAAGAAAAAAATGTTGCCAAATCTATTGTGCAGATCCATTGAGGAAAAATGTTTTAGATTGGAAGCTGCGGTTTAGGATCATGGAAGGGATCATTCAAGGGCTTTTGTACCTTCACAAGTACTCGAGATTGAAAGTAATACACAGAGACATCAAAGCCAGTAACATTTTGCTGGACGAGGATATGAATCCAAAAATATCGGATTTTGGAATGGCTCGGATATTTGGAGCCCAAGAATCCAAAGCCAACACCAGAAGAGTTGCTGGAACATTGTAAGTTCTCTCAAGGGTGACCAGAAGCAAACAGAGGATTCCTTTCATCAGGTTTTGGTAATAATTTCTTGTGTTTGATATATGTACAGTGGGTATATGTGTCCTGAGTACTTCAGAGAAGGGCTATTCTCAGCCAAATCAGATGTGTTCAGCTTCGGGGTTCTGATGCTTGAAATCATCTGTGGAAGGAAGAACAATAGCTTCCACCATGACTCAGAAGGACCTCTCAATCTCATAGTTCATGTAAAAGCCAAATATTTCCCTCTTCTTTCATTTGTTAGCATTTCGCGTGTTTACTTAGTTTTTGGATCCTTAAAACTCTGTTTTCAGGTGTGGAATCTGTTTAAAGAGAACCGAGTTGGCGAAGTGATAGATCCTTCTTTGGGAGATTCTTCACTTGAGAACCCTCAAGTGTGAGATGCTTTCAAGTTGCTCTCTTGTGTGTACAAGAAAAGCCAGAAGATAGACCAAGTATGTTAGATGTTGTGTCCATGATATATGGCGACGGAAACAATGCTCTTTCTTTGCCTAAAGAGCCGGCTTTTTATGATGGCACCCGGAGAAGCTCCCCTGGGATGGAGGTTGAGCAGCCGGAGACAGATAATGCATCAGTAAATAGAGTTACCATCACAGTGATGGAAGCAAGGTGAGCTGGTGAAACTAGAGTTACCATCATCAGTGTTGCAATAATTTATTTAAACTCAGTTAATGCTTGTAAGCTTAACTTGTATCTTCTTCTAAGCACACAACACTATATGAAAAGTAATAATTGTTATGAGTTCTTTGGTATTTAAACCAAACGAAAGGTGTTCAAACTATAAATACTTATTCATGGAGGGTTCTTGATGAATGACATATCCCAGGTTATGTTCCTGCGTGTGTTCTCTTATGTTCAACACAGCTTATTTCTCTCATCTTCACTGTAACTCAAAGGCATATACTTTCCAATCATTGCCCATGAATGTTTAGCAGACCATTTTTCCATCTTAACAAAAGAAAAAATTAGCAAAAAGATTTTCAAATCCAGTATAATGAAATGGCAGAGCCACTTAAAAAAAAGAGCCACTTGCCGCAACGTGTCGACAAGATGGATAAAGAACCTTTTACGTAAGTGGAGCCGCTAGCACGTCACGTCACCGTGTGGTCGTATTATAACTGGTTCGTAAACCAAAGGCAAGTCCCATTTTTAATCCTTGGAATTTCTGAAAACAGTTGGTTCCCTAAGATGATTATGATAGTCTGGTTTTTCCTTTTCTCTGCTTCCCCTGTTGTTTAGTGTAACTGTAGCGAGTTCCTAGCCAGGCCCGTCTCAATCATCTATAGGGTCTTGTGCAAATTATAAAAATAATACATGTAATCTATAAAAAATGGGCCCTAAATTTTTTTGCAGAGGGTCCTAAATCCTAGCTAAAATTTATAAAAAATATTATGGGCCCTGTGCAAATGTTCCTTGGGCATATGCCTAGAGACGGGCCTGTTCCTAGCATAGTTTTGATGTTATAATCATTCACGGACCTTGAGCTCTGTTAAGGTCTCAGGAGCTCTTTCTTTTGGCTAGTAGAGTGAATTAATGTTTCACACGTTTCTTGTAAGTTTAGCCAGCTTTCTCTGAATTATGCTCCAAACTTTTTTGATATATATGTTTTGAACAGGTACTAAAAACCTGGTGTTCAAATTATAGGCCGTCGATTATGAAGAGATGGCAGAAGAATTGGCGTTAAAGAATGATTGTATCTATCTCAAATTCAAGAGTAATTGCAGTTATAGTTTTAGTGCTCATTTTGCAAAGTTTCTGAAACTGTTTCATATGGTATAATATCATCGTTCATCAAGGATTGTTCTGTTTGAGTGTCACTTCTTTTTTTTTTTGCTGATTTATTTTTGGAAAAATATGTTAGAATAAAGCCAAACACGCACGTATAGTTCTTATCCTGTGCAATACGACTGTTACAAAAACTTCTTATTGTGTTGGTTTCATTTTTTCTTAAGTAGAGAGGGAAGCAAACAGCGGCACAATTAAAAAGAAGTTAAGAAAGCAACAACAACATCAAACCAACACACAACAGAAGCGTAAACCATTCCAGAAAGAATGGACTTGTGAAGAAAATCAAAACTAAAAGCCAAGCCTTCCAAATACAATATGTTTTAGCAAGTTATTTGCTTTTGTTAGGTAGATACATATAAAGCAATTTTCCAAGTCAAAAACAAAATGAAGAACAGTAGTACGTAGAAACTTTCTACGTTTTCTCTGTTTTTGGGTGAATGAACAAAGTTGAGACATGTGTATCAGTTATCTAAAGAAATGAATTTTTTAAATACTACTGTTTTTCATTTTGCGCAAGTTGTCTCTTTAGATTTTACACTTTTGTACTCTAGCTCCATCTCCCAATGCTCCTTTTGTCCTTTGCTTCAAGATCCAATCATCCAAGTTTAATATAAAGGTCTCGTAGCCTCTGAGTAATCAAAACAAAACAAAAAATCGCACGATCTTTAATTTACAATAAAATTCTTACACTAATACAAAATCGTACGTTTTCTTATCCAAAAAAAGTTTCTATGAGATCTCTGCTTCTAAAGTTCTTTATTGTTTGAAGTTGGTTCTTGATGATGATCTTATTAGATTCCGCAGCCATATACTCCAAATGAGGCAATCTTCCAAAAACCCTTTGATAATGTCACTTCCCACAGGATTATTGAAGTACTCTGTGAAAGAAACGCTTCTTCTTTGGTTCATGCATGTGGTGACTATGTCACTAGAGTCATTTGAGCTTTATTGTTGTATTTAGCATCAACCCATGCACTAACTCCAGAGAAAGTTTTCTAAAACCATTCATGTCTTCATTCTGTTGATTTTCCACAACCGATCCATAAGTGAATTTGACACTTACATTAGAATAAACCAATATATTTCATGATGTGATAATAACATCTTGAGGACGAATATGTAGCATTTCTTTTATGATCTCATAAAGGAAGAAGTATGCGAAGCTTTCCAGCAATCCCTGCAGGAAAAAATGGTAGAGAATCTGTCTAAAGGATCCATATGACATCAAAGGCATTACCACCCAGTCTACTGAGAAAGAGGACATTGTGAGAAGATTTGGAGACAGCGTGTTGTTGTTAGTGTCTCCAAAATTTACTCCATGACCATAATTGTACAATTTGGTAGCAACCATTGATTTGATCTGCTTGCAATAAGCTTTGTAGATGATGGCTCAACGGGATATTTTTCATCTAGAGATAATATCAAATGTTTTATGTTTTGACATTTATAAAAACTAACTACTCTGATCATAAAAATGACTATATTCATCAGAAGATATACATTTATACATAACTAATCAAAACATTCTTGTTTTTACTAAATCTCTAGGTCAAACATGTTCAAATCTAGTGCAATCTTGTAAAACATGACACAAGTTAAACTAAAAAATAGTCACAAATAAGAAATAATTCTAGATATCTTTCAAAATATAATTGGGGAGTTTCTTTATTGTTTGATATATGTCCAGTTTGTATTTCAAAGATACTGATATCATCAATTCTAGTTCCGGTGAATGAGCAAAAACATTAAAGATCATGTCAATTCATATATGAGATTTGTATATTTAATTTTTCAAATGTTCATGTATATTTTTTTTTCAGATTGAACATTTGATTATATCCGCCTATCTGAACAACGTAAAAAGATAACATTTCTTTTTCTTCTAATATTATACATATGTTTCATTTCATGCAGCCCAAATCAAAGAATGGATACAAAAACCAATGTTGGTTGTTTCGAAACAATTAAATAAATATACATACCATTGTGGCATACTTCTTCCTCTTGATTTTTTCTTTGTTGCTAAGGTTTTTATTCTAATTCTGTGATTATTTTTCTTGTGTTTTGACACCAATGAATAATTACGCAACCTAAAATTAGACAGTGTAGAAGCAATGAATGATGCTGAAACAATCACTCATATATACAATCATGATATGCTTCCTAGGATAATCATATCATTTTTCAAATCATTTTCAGTTTTTACCATATCTGACGAAGCCATTAAAACAAAGATATATGAAACAAGTGCATTGGATATCTCAGGAACAAGTCGAATATAATAAAAAAATTGGAGAGAAGTGATGTACATTATTATTTATCTGCATGGCACATGAAACTCATAGTAAAGTATGCTTTGAATCAGTTTATATAAGGTAAGTTGTTGAATCAAGCTTATTATAATATTATTGGTAAGAAGTTGGTGCATGATGATGAAAAGTCCAAAGATAACATTTCTCTCTCCTCACTACTCTCTCTCGCAGGCAATTTACAGATCTGAGATTAGGGCCGCCTCGGCGTCCGTGCCTGGGCGCGTGAGATCCCGTCCCGGCGCCGGCGGCGTCCCCTCCTCTTCCCCTTCTCTTTTTTTCCTCTTTGCTTCACGATTGGCTCCTCTCCGTCCTCGTCTTGTCTCAGTCTCTGGCCAGGAGGGTCTCGTCGTCTCTGAGAATCAAGCGCAAGGTTCTCATCACGATTTGAAGCTCGGTCTGCTCTAGAGCTGCGACGCGGTGGCGTTCTGAGGTTTGGGTCGTGGAGTCGGCTCTTTCGACCGAGAGAGGGGAATGTGTTTCCCCCTTTTGTTCCCCTCTCGTGGCTACTGTGCTCGTGGTCTGTTGTTGGCTCGTCCGTTGTCCGGTGGGGCGTTCTGTCTTCCCTGTTGCGGCGGGTGGCCTCTTCGATTTGGTTCGGGAGCCTCTGCGGGTCGTCGAGGTTTCTCACCTTCTCCGGTGAGGTCAATGTTTGCTCTGATGGTTCTCTTCCTCGGAGCCGAGCTGGTGTTGGGTATGCAGGCGGCGATGGTACCTGACCTTTCCGGTTCGTGTGGTGCGTTGAGGGGTGGCTTCACAGTCGTCTATGGCTGTCGTTAGCTCCGTCAGCGCCTTACTTGACTTCCCAACTTCAGTTCTTCGTCACCTTCTCGGGTCTTCCAATTGAGTTGTGGCCACAACTTCATTGGATTCTGCTCCTATTTTGTCACTCTTGTTCTCACCGTTGACACGGGTGGGTTTATTTGGCGCACTGTTCTCGTTTCTTTGGTTCTCGAAGGCGGCAGGAGACGTCGCGGTTTTGGTCTTGCCGTGGCGGTGTCTCTCCTGAGTTCAGTTACCATCCCAGTGCCGGCTTTGGGCTTTGTTCTTCCCGGGTATCGTAGCTGATTGTTCATGTGCAGGTCTTGGAGCCTTCTCGGGTGGTGTTTGGTGTTGTGGTCAGGTCTTTTTGTACAGGTACAGAGGCAGCAGTGGTGGCATTTGCTGATGGGTGGTGGTTTCATACGTCGTGTGGCGTTGTGTACATGTCGGGTTTTGGTATATCGCAAGGCTCATGGTATGTATCCAAAACTCTCCCCTACTTGTTGTCTTGAGCTTCATGGTGAGTGACGGTTACATGCTCGGTGGAGATCGTCGAGAGCCAGCTACTCCGGAGACGACACTGGAATTTCCCGGCATCCGAGGCAACAAGGAGAACCTCACCTTCTGGTGACTCTCGTCGAAGGTTGAGAACGGTAACCGATTCAAAGGAATTTTGAAAGACGGGTTAGCGGAATGTGCCGGGTTTAGTGGGTGGGCGAAGCTAGCTTTGTTTAGATTGACCTGAGAATTTTGTTCGAAACCAGTATGTAACCGGATCTTTTATCCCCGATTTATCGGGAAGAATAAAATATATTAAAAAAAAAAAAAAAGTTGGTGGATGAAATGGACTGGTTATTCCTTGATCATTGTTTAGTTGTTTGATTATGTTATAAGTATGTTGCAACTTGAAACTTTGCAAACAAGTTTGTTAGATAAAATGTTTTAACCAACAGAAACCGTTGAGAAATGAAACATCATACTCATACATATACAACATGTCGTACGTCACTCAAATCAAGAGAACACAAAGATAAATCATTAGTCACAATACTTAAACATCATTATATCTGATCATAATCTCATTGGTGCTAACACCAAAGCAGTCATAATCGCAATAAACGACCTCCCTAAAATTTTGTTTCCTGTAAAAAAGACAGATAAAATGTCCAGATATATAAAATTTTCATCAAAAAATATAGAAATCGAAAACAAATCAATCTAAATAAAATTATATTTCTACTGATTCAGCATTAAAGTTGAAAATAATTCAAATGTTTTTTTTTTGTTTCGCACTTAAAACCAATTGATATTTAGAGTCTGGCCAGTTGAAACATAACGGTTGCAAAAATTTACAAATATGGATGGTTGCGGCTTTTAGCGTTATTAGGTGTTTTGTACAATTGGTAAAATGGTTAAAATGGTACGCTTATGAAACATATATGACTAGTTGATTATAACATAATGCAGCGATTGATAATAAATTACTAATATTAACACTTTATAAACATTGTTAAAATAGCAAAAACATAATACTATAATAAAATATGAAATTATTAATAGATAAAATTAACAAAAATATTATATTTATTTTTAATTTAAATGACAGTTATAATTTCAATAAAATTTGTTTTCAATATTTATATTAGAACGCTTAAAAGAATATTTTGTTTATTTTATATATGTATGTATATTTATATATGTTTATATGTTGACACTAAAATTGTATAGTGAATATTCTTGACTTAAAAGTTTTTATACTATAAATTATGATATTATTAGTGAATTAAATTACAATAGAAATATATATATATTTGTGTGTGTGTGTTTATAATATTTGAATTTTAAAATTAAATTTTAAATTTTAAAATATTTGTAGAAACTTTTTTTTTATATTTATTTATCTAATTGCAATTGTCTGCAACCGGAAACGTTAATTGGAATCAGTTTTTGATTTTAAGAGGTTTGGAATGGTTTAGATTGATTTATAATGTTTTCTGTGACTGTTGCAAAATGTCGACAACCACTACCGACTACAAGAATTACGTTTGCGGATGATAATGGCAAATCGGTCAATCCTATATAAATTTACAAGTCTTTTATATATTAGTGTTTATTTTCTTTTAAGCTTCCGTATGAAATCTCAACTCACTTTTCTTAGATGGCACTCTTATCGGTACATCTCGGACATAATCTTTTTTCTTAAATACCAACTAGATCTCGACCCGTTGTGCGGGTATTTTAATACGAAAATATTTGAAATTATATAGTACTCACTCCAATTTAAATAAATGATGTTTTTAAAAGATTTATTTTCTTTCACACTATAAGATGTTTTGAGATTTTAAGGTATATTTTGAGGTTTTAAAGTTATATTTAACTTTATTGGAAACTATTCAACCGATAAAAATTTACACTTGTTAATAATTGGTTGAATGATTATAAAATTATATCTTTAAAAATACTTTTGTAAACGAATGTAAATTTCTAAATCTTTGTGCAATGATCCAAAACATCATATATTAAGAAACGGAGGGAGTAAAATTTATCAATAAATAAATATAATTTTATTGTATATACTATCCAATTTTATAATAATATTTATGTGGCTTGTAATATTATTAATTTCAAGTTTATAAATTTGTAATTTTGTAACAATTTTTAAATACATTATTATGTAACATTACTAATTTATATATTTTGTTTTATTTCTAATTTTAAATATATAAAAAATAAATTAAATTGGACCTACATAATACGTAAACAGAATTTTGGGATATTGTTAAAAGTATATTACATAATTTTAATTTTGTGTTTATAAATAAAAAATTAATTAAAATTTTAATTATATTCTATGATAATTAAATTTTTAATCAAATAATTTTTAAAACTATATCTTGAAAAGATTCTATAAGATTTTTAAAAGATTTTGTTAGAATTTTTTAAAATTATTTATTTGTATTTCAAATAAAAATTAAAGATATGAAAAGATATTATTATGATGTTATGTAAAATTTTATAAAATTTATATGGATGGTCCAAACTAAAAAATCACACATGAAGTGAGTCATGACTTCTCTTTTAATATAATAGATAGTAAAACTTTTATAGACCGTTTGATGTGGGTCAAACAAATGATACTCTAATACCATAGTTGTATAATTTTATATAAAATCACATATTGTTCATTTACAACTCATACAATATTTTAGTTACTATAGTCTTTTACAAAACTTTATCTTTCCTTATTAACATATAAACATCATTTTCTCAGAAAATAATATATAAAATAAATGTAAATAAAACTTCATAGAAGTTGAAGCTCGACTAAAATGTTTCGTGACCATAACTTATGGGTGAGCAATAAATATTTAAAATAAGCGTTTAAACCATGAATAAGTATCTTAAATGTTCAATTTAATATATACTAAATTTTTAACCCGTACATCCGTGCGAGTATTTTTCATTTTATAAAAATATAACAAAACCTTTCAAATATATATGATTTATATTCTATTGTTATATATTGTATATTCTTATAATTTTAATTATTTTTATATAATATATTGTTGTAAGTTTTGAAATAAAAACAAATATTCATATATAATTTTTTATATAATATATTTGTTGTGAGTTACAAAAATATATGTTATGATTTTTTGTATAAAAATATTATATGATTTAAAAACTTTAATATGTTTTAAAAGTGAGTGATATTTATTTATTTATGTTAATAAAAGAATTTTTTTTAATATAATATATAATATAACTAAATTAAAAAATATAACAATTTTTCTTTTTAATTAACATTAATATATATATTTATATATATTAATCACAAAATTAAATAATGCATATTTTATAAAAAAATATTTAAACTTCTTAGTAAGATCTTGTTAGAAATTTTCTCAACAAATTTATTACTAATATCTTATTAATTGTTAAAATATTCCTCCAATTATATATATTTGATTGATTAATATAAATAATTAAATATGTCATATTAATAAGATAGTCCAACATAACTTTTTGTAGTAGATATAAATGGTACTTCTCTTTTAATAGATAAGACTAGATCTTTACCCGCGCAACCGCGCGGGTGTTGTTTTCACTTTTATATACATATGTTATTTATTTTATGACATTAGTGATATATCGTTGAACATATATTTGAATGTTTATATAATGTATTGCTAATTTAATTTAAGATGCTCTTATATACTGAGAGAATGAAAATGAGAATTAAATATGGTTGTTAAGATTTTATTATACAAATACAAAAGATAAGGTAACAACTTATCTAAGGAAGGGTCTATTTTAAAAAAAATCGCACATGAAGAGAAGTTGTGACTTCTCTTTTAATATAATAGATTTGTAGTAGATATAAATGGTACTTCTCTTTTAATAGATAAGATATTAGGTGTTAGTTATAAATTTCCTAATTTATATCTTATATACTATTTCTTGGCTTTTTTTTGTTTTTAAATTACTTTGGATTTAATTTTTAATATTATATAAACTAGATTTTTTTTTTTGACAACGAACGGCTATAAACTGAGTTTATTGAACCTGATCAATTACATCTAATATTTGAATATATTTAAACACATGTTCCCAAAAGTTCAAAACCTCCGAATAATTCTAAATCAAACCTGAATAGATATTAGAAAGCCGAGTCCTAGACCATGTGGTCAGGTCCGATTCTGAATATGCGAGACCAAAACCGCGCGCTATGCATATGAATTAAGAATATTATATACTAACCATTTATAACGCCAAGACTCGGTTGCAAAGCCGAGATGTTATACTTGAGAAGACATTTGGGAAATAATATATTAGCCGATGTCACACGAGCTTGGCCGCAACATCCAGATAAATATTGGACTGCAAGTCTCAAGCACAGGGTGCAGTTTCGTGGATCAAGATCAGGACTGCACTGGACGATTGCCTTTAAATCATAGGAACTTTCCAATTGAGTCACATGTTCTTGAGCTTCCACAAAATATGGAATCGGTGATGATGAAGAGGAGGAGGCTCTGACGATGAGCTCGTTTAGTTTTCCACTAAGTGTTTGGTTGAAAATTTCAGGATATTCTGAAGAACTGAGCATAGAATATCTACCGAAGCCAAGTCCATCCTCGAAGAGCGTGAAGAAAGAAAAGTTTGAGTAACGAACTATACATTCATCATAGAATATGAAATTTCCTATATCAGAATTGCAAGTATCAGCGACGTTTGACGTTGCGGATTGGACACAGAGTGAACAAGATGATCTACTGATGTCTCCTCTGCATAGGAACATGCCATAGATTGTGTTTGGGCTACGACCGGCCGTGGTGTTGGCATAGCTTCCGAGGAAGGAACGGTCGCGAAGAGTAGAGAGGACAGTTTCTAGGTTTGATCGATAAGCGGTAGAATTATTGAAAGTGGTGGAGTTTTGGTTGCAACCATAAGTTATTTCTACAGATTGGGACATAGTTTGGAGAGAGAGTAAGAATAAGCAAACCAGGACAATAGCAAAGTGTGTAATGATTCTTGTCATTTTTATGTTTTTTTTTTCTTGATTAATATGACTTATGAGAAAGAACGGAACATATATCATAAAGATTTATATAAACAAAGTACAAAACAGCGCATATAGCTGTTTCTAAAAAGAATTCAATCATGTCAATAATGTCCACATATAACGTGGTAGACCAATTCAAAGGAAAAATCTTTCATAGAAAATAATTATATTCGTAGTTGACTTCCATATTCTTGTATAATATAACACTAGGTTAATTTGATTTGACTTAACTAAAATAAATAGTAAATAAATATTATGAAAATATATGTATTAAGCGTTAAATAAAACTGATTTTATTTGACTTACCTAAAATAAAAAGTAATTATTCTTCAATTTTAATTTAAAAATATATTATATTCAATATACTCACAAAATGAATGATTCGACTAATCTAATTTATATTCAAAATTAATCAACTAACTGCAATAAGAACATATAATTTTATAATAATAATATTAATAATCTATTTACTTTTATACATATAAATTAGAGATTGACTCAAAGCATATTAAAAAAAAAAATATATATTAACCAATTACAATTCAATTCTTTTTAGAATTTATATATATGCATGAGACTTCAAAATATTATCATTATATTCATTTATGTAATTTTGAATTAAACACTTCATCTTATTATTTATTTCATTTTAAGCACAATATATATTAAGTTATACATAATTTAACTATAATATATTTACATATCGAAGAATATAGTTACATATCTAAAGACAATAACCAACCGAAATGAAAATAAGAAAATTAATCAAAGTTTTATTATATTTAGAATAAAAAATATTGTAGCTGAATTCAAAAAATTGATATTATCCAATATACCAAATTGATAACCAAACCGACTATTAATAAAAACAAATAATTAAACCGGCAATAATATATCCAACGTCATATGTATAATTAGAATAATATAATATTTATTAATATAAATTATACATATAAATTGATTAAAAACTAAAACTAAATACCAATCAATTATTTATTTCATTTAAGTACAATATATATATATATTTACATTAATTTATACATAATTTAACTATAATATATTTACATATCGAAGAATATAGTTACATATCTAAAGACAATAACCAACCAAATGAAAATAAGAAAATTAATCAAAGTTTTATTATATTTAGAATAAAAAATATTATAGCTGAATTCGAAAAATAGATATTATCCAATATACCAAATTGATAACCAAACCAACTATTGATNCATAATTTAACTATAATATATTTACATATCGAAGAATATAGTTACATATCTAAAGACAATAACCAACCAAATGAAAATAAGAAAATTAATCAAAGTTTTATTATATTTAGAATAAAAAATATTATAGCTGAATTCGAAAAATAGATATTATCCAATATACCAAATTGATAACCAAACCAACTATTGATCCGAAAAATAAATATATCCAAAGCCAAATGTATAATTAGAATAATATAATACTTATTAATATAAATGATACATATTAATTAATTCAAAACATCAATCGATTATTATAAAATTTAACTTTTACAATATTCATACCCGTGCAAGAGCACGGGAAAATCACCTAGTATAAAATAATTATATTCGTAGTTGACTTCCATATTCTTGTATAATATAACACTAGGTTAAGATCCGCGCCTTGCGCGGGATGAAGTTATTATTTTTATTATGTTTTGGAAAATAAAATAATAGTTCGGTTTCATTTGGATTAGGAGTGTTCAATCCGGGTATCGGGCTTCGGTTCGGTTCGATTTTTGGTATTTCAGTTATTAAAATATAACTACTATTCTAAATCCATATTTACTTCGGTTTGATTTGGTTTATATACCATCAGTTTTTAGTTTATTAAGTTTTATACCCAAAAAAAACATAATTATTTAGTTTGAGATTATATTATATATTACACAAATATATAATATGATCATATTTAGAATCATATTGTCAAAAAGTCATTTATTAGAAAAATATATTTAAATAAAAGAATAAAAAAAAGCTTCTATCATCTAATAAAATGATCAAATCTAGAATTAATATCAAACCTCTAAATTTTGAAAAAAAAAACAGAAGCATGAAAGAAATTTCTTTATATTCTTCCATATTTAGTGTTCATCAATTAACATGTTTCCGACTGAACACAACTCTGTTTGTTTAACGATTAAAAAAAGTTGTAAAGAATTTTAACTAATTGTTGTCCATCAAATTTATAATCTTTACTTCAATTTAGTTACAATTAAAATAAAGCAAAAAGACCAAAAAAAGACTAAGAAAATAAGAAGCCTCAGTTGCAGTAAATTGTTAGTTAATTATAGTTCTAGTGATTCAAGTGATTTACAAATTATAATTATAGTTCAACTCATGTAATAAATAGATATTCATGTGTCGTTATAAATATATACATATTTACATGTTTCAGTTTAATCGGTTATAAATCAAACCATATCCAAATCCTACGGTTTTTTATAAAATCACATCCATTCGGTTTGTATGGTATATACCAAAAATAACCATATTATCGATTGTTTAATATCTTTTAAAAATATAAAATTAAAAAAGAACTAAGATATTTAAATCATTGATAACAAAACTTTTCAATGTGAAAAATTTAATAAGTTTATAATTTATAAATGTTTTTGAAAATTCTTTGAAATTTTTGAAATTAAAATATTTATGTAATCTTATATGGTATATATAAATATATTTGTTTTATTATTGAATGATACTTTCTACTCATATAGTTTTAAAATCATGTATATCTTTTTATAATAAAAATGTTTATTGATCATTAACTTTTAACATAATAATTTTAATAGTTTTAGTCATTTATTCTCGTTTTTAATTCAAAATATAACATATACGAAAAATCTTAAGTTTAATTTTATAGCTAATTTTATTGTTGAATTTATTTTGATAATATAAAATTAAAGAAAAAATGATGGAGGAGATATAAATTGTTATCAAATATTTATTATTAGAATCATTAATTGTCATATATATATATATATATGTTAGTCATTTATGGTAATTCCGTATGTTTTATTTAAGGAAAGAAAATAAAATAGTAACTATATTTAACGGAACAATCATAAATGCTTCTATCATAAATATCATATAATCATATCATATAGTTTGACCAATATATCTAGCGACATATAAAAATTGAATATGAACCTACTTATTTTTCAATTGAATGTAATTGACTACCTAATTGAATGACACCTAAGCATGGGGTCTCTTTTAATTATTACAAAATTGTGGTTACAATTTTTCAAATGTTTCTCTTTTAATATATAGGGGATTTACTTGTCTTCGTAGGTAACAGGTTCTTCAAATCAGACGAAGCCAACGCCAAAAGATAAGGTTGACCCGTTGATTTTTGAAAGATTTGAAGCAAAACATATTACTTGTTCAGTTGTATTGAACCATATTGGGAAGCAGTAATTTATGTATGTAACCCGATCATATAACATGATTAGGGTAAATACGATATGTGTATATATGTTTCTGTAAGGCATTACTTGAGTAATAAGAAGTATCATTACAAACTGCTGAAACCTTTTTGACATGGTATCAGAGGTTCAAATCTAAACTACAAGATTTGGCTCATCGATTCTGGAATCACTCGATCCCCTGCGAGTTGTGTTCTTTGTTGTTCCTATTTTGAGATAATGGAGACAAGCTCGGCTCTTGCTACCTCTGTAATGCCAGCTAAAAGACGAACGATTTCTTCATATGACCTTACTGCTGGTGATAATCCAGGAACTCTCATATCCAAGCCACCATTGAAAGGACCTAACTACGACCAATGGTCTATCAACCTGCGATTGGCTTTGAAGGCGAGAAAGAAGTTTGTATTGCGGATGGAACCATTCCGCAACCCGATGAAGAATCAGAAGACTATGAAGATTGGATTGCTAATAATGCTCTTGTGGTCTCTTGGATGAAGTTGACGATAGATGAGAATATTGCATCTTCTATGACTCACATCAACGACTCCCATCTGGACACACATTCAGAAGCGGTTTGGAGTCAAGAATGGGCAACGAGTTCAGCGACTCAAAACAGAGCTGGCTAATTGTCGCCAAAAAGGAATTGCGATCGAAGCGTACTTTGGGAAACTTTCTCAACTATGGAGGAGTTTGGCTGACTACCAGAGAGCCAAGACCATGGAAGAGGTGAGAAAGGAGCGTGAGGAAGATAAACTGCATCAATTCCTCATGGGTCTTGATGAAAACTTGTACGGAGGAGTGAAATCAGCTTTGTTGTCCCGCGTACCTTTGCCTACACTTGAAGAAGCATACAACACGCTGATTCAAGATGAAGAATCCAAGCTTGTGGGTAAACTGAATGAGGAGCAAACAGACGTGGCGAGCTTCGTAGTTCAGACAACCTCTCAGCCTGCTCGTTCTCTCACCGAAACCAGAGGATCATACGAAAACAGAGCATGCTCAAACTGCGGTAAAAAGGGGCATACATCAGAGAACTGTTTCAGGCTGATAGGTTACCCCGAATGGTATGAAGAGAGACAAAATACCAGGATGGGTTCTTCCCGTGGAAGTCAGGGAGCTGGTCGCGGTTCGACCTCTCAAGCTGGTACACAAAACGGAAGAGCAAGTGGAGCTAGTCGTGGGTCTGTTCAAGCTAACCACGTTGTAACAGCCAGAGCCTCATCCTCGACTCTTACTTCTGCTGATCGAGTTGGGCTCACTGAACTCAATGACGATCAATGGAAGACACTGGTACAGATGCTTAACGACAGAAAGGCACCACCTATAGAGGATCGATCAGGTAAAATTTTTCTTGAATCTTGGATTATTGATTCAGGAGCGACTAACCATATGACTGGAACGTTTGATTTTTTGGCTGATATTTGTGATATGGCTCCGGTTCCTATAAAACTTCCGGATGGAAGGTTTACTACGTCGACTAAGCAAGGACGAGTGAGATT